TCTTGTTAGTCAACTGACTGACTTGGCTAATGATTACATAGTTTTGCTTATTGTAGTAGGTTTGTATGAAATCCCTCTACAGTTCATTATGATCCCTAAGACTCTTTTGAAACAAGCCACATAATGCTCCAGCTAGTTAACACGAGCTACACAATGGCTAATTGCTTGCTTACTTATACACAAGATATATCTAATGTTTAGTAGTTGCACGTGGTCTCAATTTCTTACCTGCCAGTATTTTGAATTTGGCCCCAACACCATGCTCATTTAGTGAGTGAAGAGATATTTCTCACGCGTGCTACAAAGACTCCCATCTTTACAATCATCAAAATGAAGTTCTCAGAGCAGTGTGACATGGTTGTTACCAAATTGTCATGGATGTACATGTATGCATATCTTGATTCTATCATAAAATCGTCACGGTATACATGCGTGACAAAATACATGACCTGCTGTGACAAACATGTATTATCACGGAAGTGTTTTTGTAGTGTATGTTCTTGTAGTATATCGTGCGGTTGGGTTTGTTCAACACCATTGTTCTGATTAGAATGTGCTATGATTGTTGTCGGAATCATTGTTACTTCAACAATGCCTTATGATCAGGAAAATTGGGTCATTATGCAACACATGAGCTAGTCCCAGAGACGAGTCTAGGAACGTATTATTATGTTTATGTTTCCACACTTGCTTATGAGTTATGCTCTAAGTCTCACATTCAAGAAGCGTAGCAATTATAGTACATAAAATATACATTAATTATAAATGTGGATAATTATATTTATTATTGCCTCTTGGGCATATTTCCAACAAATCAGTGGATAATGAAGGCACAAAAGGTTGGAACTATGAGAGAATATGGAAGTTGTCACATAAATAATGGTACAAATCACATGGTCCATTCATTTAAATTATTACACATTAACAACATCTAATCCACTCTTAACAATGTTGCAATTTCTTATTGGATCAAATTGGTGTTGCTATAATACAAAGAGGCACGACCTTCGCTAGTGTAATGCCAAACTGATCTTCCATATCAATCCCATCATGTTCCATCTCAACAGGGAGACTCCACCTAAATTGATTTAACAATGAAGCGAGCATCACATGCACCATCCGAATTGCCAATGTTATTCCAGGGCAGATCCGACGCCCCGCACCAAATGGAAGGAGCTCAAAATCCATACCCCTAAAGTCAATAGTCGATCCCAAGAACCTCTCCGGCATAAACTTCTGAGGTTTAGTCCACACATCTTTATCTCGTCCTATTGCCCATACGTTTATGAACAAGCGTGAATCCATGGGTATTGTGTAACCTTCTATTTTGACAGTTGTTTTTGCTTGGCGTGGCAACAACAATGGAGCAGGAGGGTGGAGTCGAAGAGTCTCTTTTATGACAGCTTGAAGATAGGGCAACCGAGCAATGTCAGCTTCTTCAATGTTTTTTCTTACGCCGATAACTTGCGCAAGCTCGTCGCAAACCTAGCCATTGATGATCGGTTTTGGAGAAGCTCGGTCATTGCCCATTCCACTGTGCTAGAGTTGGTATCACTACCAGCAGCAAACAAATCCTAACATTCAAATATAATATTACATGAATATAGTCTAGTAAATGTATCTATTTAGATAAACTAAACATGCATCACCAAGAGTACGCTGTAATTTGCTAAATGTGCTAATGAAGAATCAAAATTTCTTTGAACTGCACATTGTGATACTGTATGGATGCATCATATACGCTAGAATTTGTTGTATGTAGCATGAGATTTGATATTCATCTCATTACATTAGATTAGAAGAAGTCGTTGTTCTTGACCCAATATTTCCTTGGTCACCACCTTCATATGGTGAGTTACGGGTTTTTGGGTGCCTTTGCTATCCGAGTGTCGCCTCTACTGCACCGCTTAAGCTGCCCCCCACCCCCGGTCTCTTGCCTACATATACCTTGGTGATCCGGCTAACATCAAGGGATATCGCTACTATGTATGACCCTGTCTCTGATTGAGTCATCACTTCATGGCACGTTTACTTTGATGATAAGTGTTTTCTGGTTAAGAAGGTACCATGGACAGATGTGGCACCGAAGTCCTCTATGGCTGGCTTTGATGGGCTACGCGGCGCTCCCCCTAGGCGCGCCATGGCGGCCCCATCGCCAGCTCCGGCCGCCTCTTCAGAGGCTGCCTTGCTGAGTG